ATGAATTCGAGAATTCGTACCCCCTTCTATATATTCTTCTTAAATCCTGATTATGTTGCTGCTCGCTCGCTACGCTCGCTCCGCAGCAATTATAATAGTAGCATTCTACTAGCAGACTAATGCAAATCGTACGCTATCAGCCATTAGTGTACAGTGGCTGGAACTCATCCATGAAATAGCGTTTCTTCGTTGTCCAAAATTTTCGAAAAACATTTCGATATAAATGGATAAAAATTCCTGAAAAGACTACAGGGAGGGCATACACAGTTTTCTAATCTTACTATAAACACTTGCATTTGGTGAAAATACCGACGAGTGAACGTCCACCACAGAATTAAAATTACAAATGAAAATTCAGCCTGTAGTCTTTCCACCAGAGCACGCCATTAAAATTTCGAATGACAAGTCAGCCTGCAGTGTTTACACCAGAGTGCGCCATTGCAGGAATCCCGCGCTGCAATCAGAGATGGCTCCCAGAAAAATGAGAAAAGGGCCAATTTGGCCCTTTCCTTTGACAAGACTTTGAGATTAACACTGGCATAGTATTTTAAAAGCCATCCCAGGGTTCGAAATATGCAACTAACATTTCATCCTTCTGGTTTAGTTGCCATAATGGCGACTACATTTCTCTGTCTCAGCGATCAACAATGGCTATTTTGTCATACATTACGTCCTTCTAGAAAATCATATTGAAAGATCTTTGCTTCTAAAACATTCAAAATAAGAAAAAAAGTCAATCCGTCCTTTTACTTTGCTGCAATATGGATTCTCAGAAAACTTCCAAACCACTGACTGTGTATGAAATCGCCCTATAATGCATTGCAAACCCTTGATCATTGACTACATCATGTATGCCTAAGGATTGTTCTCTTGTGATGCACAGATCTAGTATCTGATTCAAAAGAAACTTTTTTGAGTAGAAACACTTCAAAAAGCACTTATTAAATTTTGTCATGGATCCTAATAAACTGCTTTTATTTCCCTTGGTACCCTGATGTATTTTTTCCTTCTGTAGCTTTCAATTTATTAATTTATTGGCCCCTTTCCTAAAAAATTGCCCCCTAAAAAAGGTCTTCAGGGGCCACTTTGGCCCTCAAGTAAAATTTTCTGGCTGAAACACCGAGCCTGCACAATTTTTCTAAAGCGTGAGGTATAATTTACTACATGTATATAGCGAAAGAAATTGTATTACCAAACAATACAACTGTACGATACAGTACAATACGATACAACACAACACAACACAACACAACACAACACAACACAATACAATATTACATAATAAAATAATTATTACAATAATATATATGATGTACAGACCCTGGAGGAAAGACTCCCATAAGTAGTCAGAATGCCTTTAAAATTATATGAGTGCTAAGAATGTAGGTTTCTCTGAAACTTACAGAGTAAATTTCAGACGCTTATCCCTTTGGACTGCGAATTTGCCCACTTTTAGTCAATAATTGTAGGTTGTTACATTTTCCCTTTTCAGTTCTTACTTTCTTACTTCTATGCTCTTAACTGTGGAACTGCAAAAAAAATCATTCTTACTTGTAAATTTGAACCTGGTCCATTGGTATGACACAGTTTTGGTGAATGCAGTTAATCAGCTGCAAGCCCAAGTTTTCAGCAAGACACTGCTGACAAAACTTTTGCTCACAGTCTACACAACTCAAGCTTGTTGTTGTGGGATTGCAATCCCAAAGCTAAAACTTTATTTTAAATCCAAAATGAAGAATAATTTTTCCTTTCAAAAGCAAAATGCATGTGGTCATGTTCTTTCAATGGACAGACTATAGGACAACAATAATAGATTCACAGTTCACTTGGGAGAATATACCATGTGAACAGAAAAAATTATTTGTGGAGTATCCTGTTTCACACTATATTCAGAACAAACTACTATTTTAAAAAATGCAAATCACAGACAGACAGTAACATGTCATTACCTGATCTTCAAAAACTTTAGTTTCATGTTTTCCAAGCTACACATATAGCTGGCTAACAAACTAGGGTTTATTAATCTACTACAAGCTGTTTGGCTAGATTGTGTAAGTTGGCATTTGTGATTATGGCTTAGAACAAAAATTAAAAAAAAAATTGAGACACCTTGTGGAAAAGTCTCTGTAAATTAAACACAAAATGAGAAATGGAGCACACTGATTATTATCAGTTTGATTTGGCTACACGTAAGTAATAAACCATCTGAAATGAATTAAAGAATTATTCTTCTGAATAGAGATTTAAGTCATTTCTTCACCAACAGCACACCTCCCTGTGATTCATTAAATGAACGCAAAATAAATGAAACATTCATTTGCACATTGGTTACCTTGGGCAGACATCTACTGACAAACGTAACGATCATTGCAGCTTCTAAATCAAACATAATATTATGAGATCGAACATAAAGAAACCCAGAAGACTTCCAGGATTGACTGAGTCAACATGTCACTTTCAACAAGCATTAAAATGGGTTTTCTTTCGAAATTACACTTAAGCGTTGCATTTGTGAAAAGAATAAGTAATTGCCATCAACGAATAAAGTCTTTTTAGTAATTCTTTTCGACACTGATTCAAATCTGCCAAAGATGATAATATGCAGCTGGAAAAAAGAAGAATTTGACTTGTGGTCTAAGAATAACACCTGCTCGAGACGGTGACAACATTTCCAAAGCAAAGAAATCGTTCTATTATTTCTAACTGATAGTAGAAAAACTAAAAGCTTATTAAACATGGTTAGTATGGTTGCTGCATATAAATAATCCGCAATGAACGCCCGCGCTTCTTCAAACTGTACACGACCGACGCGAGGTCAAAAACATGATTTGATCGACGCCGAGATCTTGATCTGGAGTTTCTTATCAATAGATTACATGAAAAACTCATTTCAAGAAGAAAGACGCGCAGTATACGGCATTCTGAAGAATCGCCTTAAGTGAAAAGCACATGCACAATAATATTAAGGCAAAAACACGTCCACATATGTGATACAGTACAAGGTGGAATAAATAATTCATTGTTGACATTTGTCTATGCCTGATGGGTCGTAAAACTAATCCAAAAGTGTGTTAGCGAGTGCAAGAGTATTTTTAAAGACTCTTGCTGTTTTTGTACATTATATACATGTATAAAATTTCTATACGTTATAAGAAAACTACATTTCACCTAAAAGTATAAGCTTCAATAAAGCCAAAAATGAAAATGACAATCCTGAAAAACTCTATAAAGGAAACTTCAAACGCTCGACCCTTGTCATATTCACTACTGTTTGCCAATATTTTTCACTTTTTGAACTTCATTTCTTAAAGAAATATCCACTGGCCCCCAACAGTCCAAGATTCAAAAGAAAAACTAAACGAACTTGTAGTGACAAAGACTTTTACTTTCACGCCTTCAACGAGAAAGTGACGAGCCCATTTGATGCACAATCTTAATTCGATTTTTTTTGAACACTTCACGACAACATGGGGCCGAGTGAGTAAAATTAAAAATTTATGTCACATTTTCGAACTTATCCTTTCATTCAAAAATTTCAAGATATTTTTGCCATCAATGAATAGTATCTGCCAAGCTTGTAATAGGCCAAAAACACTCGCTCACAAATGTAAGCCTAGAATCATTGACTAACATAAGCTAAACTCACTCTATTAAACCCACATTCTGAATGATTTGAGTTAAAAACTTACTCGATTTCTCCGTGACAGAGGAAAGTTTAATTTTTTTACGTACAAAACCCAAACAATGTCAACGTACCTCCTACGGAAAGTGGTCCGTTCTGATCGGCGAAGAACGACATCAGGACGGCGGCCATTTTCATCTTCTTCGTACACGGAACGACTCTTGTGTCCCATTATAACCATGAAACAGTGGCACAAAAATACACAAAATTCATACGGCCAACGGACATGTTCATATAGCAACAAGAAGATGTATGAATAGCTGTGAATACTCAAGACTGGGATCACGAGAATCTGATTTTCAGGCGGTAGCTTTACTACAGGCGGTTGAGAAAATTAGTGGCGCGTTGTTGCCAGATCTGCCGAGTGAAGGTTTCCACCTGATTCAAGCGTTCTTCATTATTCAGTTCAAACACCCCGTATCCGCTTTTAGTTCCGGAATAAATATGCTGTACGAATACATAATGAGCTAGGAGAACCAATGAGATGATAGCGCATAATGGCAAATCCTCACAGATCTATTTAAAATTTAAAAGCATCAGCTCCGGTGATTGTGGGAAGAAATAACGTAAAACAAGGGAAACCATTTGACGATTCGCCAACATATCTTGCCCATTCACATGCAAATGAGCTCGTATCTGTGTCCAGCGATAAAACCTGGTGCAGAACAGTTCTTGAAAACTTTTCTTCCACNTACCACAATGAATAACAACAACCTTTTCCTCGAAATTGGCAAACAGTTGGCAAACTGAGGGAGACAATTTTGAGATTATGATAATAAAGTGGATTGACTTCTGCTTGAGATGCACCTGAACTAGAGGGTTATATAGGTACTTTGCTCTGATGAAAGGCTGAAATGCTTGAAGTGTCAGCTTTGCTTACTAGCTATATGTGGGTAGTTAACCTTAATTGACTTCAAGTTGATAAAAAGCTAAGTACAGTGTATTTACATGTACATGTAGCTACTCTATATAAATGTGAGAAAGTGTGAGTGTGTAAAAGTTTAACTTTCTCCTCTTGTTAAGTGTGGATTATTCATGGTGTAGTGTTTGGTTGTGACCATTAAAATATGACTTTGCTTCCCCAGGCTGCTGCAGCCGTGAAGAAGTACCCATTACCTTTGAGCAGTGGAGAAGAGGCAATGATTCTTGATAACATTGGCAAGTATTTAGAACTACAATGTCTAACATGTAACCCAAAGATGCCAGTGCCATCTAGAACTTACTAGCCATGTTGCTTTTGCTGCCTGCAAACACCCGTTCTTCATTCAGCTCCCATTTTAGAACTACACACACTACAAAACATTCATTGCAGTGCTACATTAAATTTGATTCTTGATTCTTAACCTAACCACCAGATTTTTGTGAGGTACCTGGCCCTTAACAAAATGCTCCATTATGATCTTTTCAGATCCTCAAAGAACTTGTAGAATCTTGCAAAGATCTTTGAGGTCCACGTCAAGTCCCTGCAAAGATCCTTGTGAATTAATGTTTTACACCAACCTGAAGAATGTTTGCAGGATCTTGAAGAATTTGCAGGTTCCTGTAGGATATAGCATTTCCAAAAGGATCCTTTGGCATTTTACAGAATCTTATATATGTTCTTTCTTGTATTACTTACATTCATGTAAGACTCTAGTAAGGCCCCATCTTTTTAGGATCCTGCATTGTGTATTTATAAGAGGCCCATGATTGTACATGTACGTAATATAAACAGAGGTAGGATTTCAACCAGGCTAGGAGAACTTAAATAATCTTATGTTCATTTGGCGGTAAGCAATTTTTTTTGGTATTCAATATTGTTATCGTAGGTGGAATGATTGCTCGAAGGCTAGATGAAGCCATGGCAAAGCATGATGCCAGAAACCAACAAGGTATGGAGCAAGATTTTGTTATTGAAATTGGTAGAAATATGACAGAAATATTAATTGATCAGTGATATTTTATCCTTGTTGAAATGCAAGGTAATGTCTAAGATCTCCTGTCAGGTTTTTGAACACCTGATGCTTAAACATTGTTAGTAGTGAAAGTGGCAAAAGTTCAATTGAGGCCTTACACTACTGTACAATGATTTGAAAATCGTTTAAAAAATCCAAGCTTTCGCTAATCTACAGCATCATCAGGGATGATTGTTGGTAGTGTTGATGTTAATACGGTTGCTATACACACAGTCCCAGTACATGTATCTCAGTAAGTCAACAAAGAATTCAAAGTTCCTGGTACACTGTACTTACACTCTGCAGTGTTCAGGTGATAGGTGTGACAGTGTTCTTGAAATAATTTTTTTTTTTATGGAAGAAGGATTAATAATAGACTCCAGTGGCCCAAAGGGCCGCCAAGCAGCGCATCACACTCATTCATGAAAGAAAAGGAAACCCATGAATACATTTTCTCGTGGTTATCATGATTAGCGGTATTGCTTGTGGGCGCGTACGCGTCACAACGACGAAGACAAAGTCGGGCAACATGGCAGCCATACTCCAGCTAATGTGTTGACCAAGACATGCAGCCTCGGTTTAGAGCGTACATCTTTGATATTGGACATCTATGTTATGGTTAATAGACACCTGTCAAAAAAAAAAGGTATAAGCTAACCAGTATTACATGATCATGAATAATTATTGTGGGCTTAAGTGTAGAACTCATAGAGGTCACATGTTTTTTTTTTAAGTTGACTGCTACCCAGGTACTGGTTTTTGATTAGATTGCAGGCTCAAGTCAGGTTAACTTATTGTAATCAGGAGCTCCTCTTCTAGGCTTGGTTAAATCTACACTATCACTGAAGAGAACTTAAATTAAGTTCTTTTTTTTAATAGATTTTATGTGTGATAACAATTACTTGTAGCTTTCTATTATTTATATTAAGGTGAAATAAATTTATGACTTTCAGAGGATGTCAAGTGTGATCAAATACATGTAGAGGAGTATTCTAGAGATATGAATCCCATCATGGACTCACTAAGTGTGCCACCTCCACCACTGGACAATGAAAACATTGAACAGGCACCTCCAAAAGTATGTGTAATGTAGAAAAAACATAATACATAGATTTAGCCAAGCCTAAAAGCGGAACTCCTGATTGCAATAACTGACCACAAAGGAAAAAGAGAATGATTTTTTTCTTGGATCAGAAAATCAAAAAATGATCAATTGTGGGCGTGTAATAATTATTGTTCAGTGTGTGGTTTTGCTATTTTTTCCAGCTAAATTTTTAACAAACTATACCCAATAAGTCTCACCAAGGTTGTAGAAATTATGTACGCAAGATATCAGGGANGGTTTTGCTATCACTTTTAATGACCTGATTGCATTGATTGTAAATTGTTATGTCATGTTTGACAGATGACTTAAAGTGAATCCTGAAAGTACTTCTTAACAAAAGCAAAAAAGTATCTATTCCAGAAATTGTCAAATTTAAGATAAACCCATCTGTAGAATTGTTCATAATGAATTCTATACAGTGAGATGACTGAAAGTTAGGGTGTCGCTACTAATACATAATAAGGAAGAAATTTGACAAAAGACTTAAGTATGTTCTGTCTTCTCTCAGGAACGTTCGATATTGTTTTGTGTGTTGATGTAAACGAGACAACAACAGGGCAGGCCAAGTCAAGAAAAGATGCTCTTATACCAGAACTGAAGAATAATGGTGCGTGATTAATCACCATAACTTATTGTCAAATGTTGACATTGAATTGCCGATTTAATCAAAGCTGGAACAAAATTCGCGAATCTGATTGGCTATCAATAGGCCCGATTTTAGCCCAAGTAGAACAGTGTACGTGTCATGCTTGTAACTCGACAGTGTAATTGGACGGTGTGTGTGTTGCTTGTAACTGGACAGTACGCGTCATTTTACGCCCGCTCTTTCTTGGACAGATATACTTGAATAGATTCCTTTTCCTGTGCAGATTGGTCAAAACACACTCAGCTGTTAACATTTTTAATTTTTATCAAGACGACCGATGAATATGGTCCTCAAATTGTTTTACAGGTTGGTTAATTAATTGGTAGCAGGACGTCGTGATCAACAAATCGGACACCCGCTTCGCGGTCGTTCGCTTTTGTGAATCACTCGCATGATTACAGACAGAATTGGACCCCAGTCAGTCCCATTACCATTATAAAGCAGTTTGTCGAAGGTTTACCTCGGAGCCAATCATCCATTCTATAAATTATTTTCTGCATGTTAAGTATAGGGACGAATTGATAGCAACAGTTTTCTTATTACTTTTATTATTTTAGATTCAACTGCCAACTGCTCCTGTGAGAACAAGGCAGATTTGATTTGGCACTTTTGATTTTTTTTCGTAGGAGTGCAATTTGATGTACGCAAACTTCAGCTGGGGGACTTTTTGTGGGTGGCACGTGAAAGAACTGTTCCAACACCAGGTACCATGCAATTTTCTTAGAAGTGGCCACTCAGTGACGCATTGTTGCATTTTGAATCACTGTACTGTAGTTGTCTTTGCGTTTGAGAATCTTCTTTCTTTGTACATATTTAGGTTGTTTGTCGGTACCCGTGGCTCGTGAATTAGTTCTGGATTATATCATTGAACGCAAGAGGATGGACGATCTCTGTGGCAGTATCATTGATGGTCGTTTCCGTGAACAAAAGGTATTGTGAAGTTTCGACTGTTTTATTGCTTCATTTCATGAAGTTGTGAAATTGCAATTTTTGCGAGAATGAAAGATCAACTGTAATCTGCTGTTGTTGTTCCAACGTAAAATTAGCCTTGGACATATTTGCTGTGATTCTTTCCCTTTTCAAATCGTTTATGCTTTCATTGCTTGTTTGCCATAGTTTCGGCTGCGCCATTGTGGCCTCAGACATCCAATCTACCTGGTGGAGGATTTTGGCTCAATTCAGCACATGAGTCTTCCAGAGAACACATTACTGCAAGCTATTGTTAACACTCAGGTTGGTCAGCAGTTGACTTCATGTTCACCATGCTTGGTTTCTGACCAAGTCATCGCGCTGTCGTTCCTTACCATTATTATTTATCACTAGCGTCCCATCCGCCTTCTTCGTCTATGCAACCATACCAAATCTTGTTTCATGTAACATGTTGTCTTTGATCACCTTTAGGTAGTGGACGGCTTTTTTGTGAAGCGGACATGTGACCTGAAAGAGAGCGTTGCTTACTTAACAGTCATGACTCGATACCTGCAGAGACTTTACTCGGTAAGTCTTCAGTCAAGCCCTTTACTGTGTACCCAAATCTCAAACGCACCTCCCGGGATCACCAGATAGAACTTGTCAGTTATGATAATTATGTGACTACGAAATCCCCAGAAACAGGCAGTCTACGTAGCAACCGTTATCCGAGTCTTTGCGCAGATAGCTTTTGCAAAGACGGTTTCTGATGGGCAGGTAAGTGAAGATAACGTGGTTTGAATTTTGTCGGGTATGGAAATGTTCGTTATTTCCGTGATTTATATTTTCCTTACTGGCCCATTTCTTCGTAGAATAAGACTCTATTTAGCTGTCATCAGGGAGATTTGGAGCAAGCGCCATCCATTGGTAGCAGTGGAAACGACAAAATGTATCTTATGAATTTTGCAGACTTTAACGACGCGACAGTCAAAAACAAGGTAAGGCCAACTAAAAGATTTAGTGAATAGTTTATCTTGGCCTATATGTAACTGCAGTGTAGACAGGACTTTCGAGATATTATCACTAACAGTCAGTTTGCTTGCCGGTTGTCTTTACAAAATGAGGAACAAAGAGGAATCCTTTGTTAAACCTTCTTACCCACCCCTTCCCCCCCGCTTCGTTCGCCATTATAAAAAGAATCTTATGTGTTGCAACTAAAACTGATAACAAAAGGTAGACAATGAAAATTATCCTTGGCCAGGTGTATCTTGTCCCAGTCGATACTTATTCCTGATTGATACACACTTTAGCCATGATAGACATCGGAATTTGCGTGTCGGATTAATCTAGACCCCAGATCTTGGCGCTTTTCGGAGGGAATCTGGGTCCAATACATGGTCCTTTTTCCTAGCCTATGATCTTTCTAACGCCGCGTGCACACTACGCCGGAGAAATTTGAAAACGGCGTTTTCACTCTGAAAGCGTATCAAATGTTTTCCGTCCACAGTCCACACCGCTGGAGAAATTTGAAAACGCAACAATCACCGGTCATTTTGGATTTGTGTTTGAGGAAAACTGGGTCAGGAAAATCACATGATTATCGTGACTATCGTTTTCGAAAACCTCCGTTTTCAAAATGTTTTCCCTTTTCACCAAAACGCAAAGCCGACGTATTTAAATTCCTTCGGTTTGAAGAGCGTTTTCGAAAAGCTCCGTTTTCGTGACGGATTAAAGCTGCGTTTTCAAATTTATCCGGCGATTTATTTACAGGGCCTTTAAAGGGCAATAATGTTTTTCCTTTTCTTGCTATTTGATTGTGTGCAGGTGATGACAGTGAGTGAGATATTTGCCAAACAACTTATGCAGCTCAATGGTGTATCTCCTGACAAAGCTGTTGCTATCTTGGAGAAATATTCCACTCCTAAAAGGTGCAGGAAGAATTCCTTTTTCGACAAACATTAAATTTTGTGTTGATCTTGCTGTGTAAAGTTACAGTGAAAACCCACGTGTAAGAACCTTGTGGTTTAAGAACCTGCTGGCAGAAATTTGCCGTTTTAAAACCCAAAAAGATAAGAACCTAGCCCTGTCTAACCAAGCAAGATAGCTCAAGATGAAGCAGGTTCTTATATGCAATCAGTTGTGTTTATTTATTTTTCGGGTAATCAACAACTATATCTCCTTCATAGAAATTAAGAACCTAATTAAGAACCTTCTTAGCCTAAATTGTCAATAAGTTCTCCAAAATATACGAACCCATTTTGCCAGACTTAAAAAAAGTATAGGTTCTTACACGGGGGTTGTTACTGTATCTGCTTTTTGAGTGAGGAATTCTGTCCAGAAAACTCCTTCTATATTTTGAGTGGAGATTTCATGAATATCGTACAGCTTGAAGATGCCATCCTAAATTGATCTGGAGAAACGTAAACGTAATGTGGGGGGTTTTCTGGCATTGTTGAAATGGCCTCTCTGGAGTTAAATCCGGCAGATATGTAGCTAATGAGAATTAAGGATATATCATGTCTCTGACACATGTTTTGTTATACTTTCATGGCTAGGTTGCTAGATGCTTACAAGGCGCAGGAGAGTGTGAAAGACAGGGAATTACTCCTGTCTGCTCTGAAATGTGGCAAGAACCAAAGGTACTTGGCATTCACTTTTTTTATGGCAGCGACTTGAATTGTTTGGTAGAAATTGGAGAATCGAGGAAGCAAGAAATCCAAGGATTTAAAAATCCTACTGGATTCCTTAGCAATTGATGAACGTATAACGATAAAAAAAAGGCAATCACTGTAATATGAGCTTGCCGCTGTAATGATTAGATCCCTTGCATGCAAACTGTTAAGCACAGGATTACAAGAAAATCGCAAGCGTTCTGATCATACCTGAGCGAATCCCGAGTTATAATAGCACACCGATGATGTTTGTACATGAGATATTGGTCTGCTGCGTTAGGTTTCATTTGCTATCTAGACTCGTTCATTGTTTGTAAAACAACACTCTTTGATCAAATGCATTTCAAATCCTGCAGGACTCTGGGACCCTCTCTCAGTAGACTAATTTATCAATTGTTCTGCTCACCTACGCTGTGCTGAGTTGCTTTGGAGCCGGTAATTAACATTGTGATGATGAAGAATAAACGACTTGTTCATTGTACGCTTCACGATGGACAACTTAGGCGAACAAAAGACAAGAACTAAACAGCCTCAGATGGAAGATGGAAATTCGGCACTCAGTTTCGATAACTCTCAATGTTGGCATTCGTAGTCGGCTATTTGGTGGATACAAAGGAAGGAAGCTGTACATCACTACAACGTAATAATGTGGGTTACAGTTCCACGTGTAACGAGAATTTTGACGTGAAGTGATATGAATTGATTGAATGTTCATAGTTCTATTGTAATAAATTTGTTAATTTGCCCGGGAAATGTTGTGTCCGTTCAAGAAATAGTGATTTGTTGAGTTTACAACAAATTGCATCGGAATATCTCCGACATATGTTACAACGTTGCAAGCAGTGACCTTATACACCAGGCCCCAGTTGTAGAAAGGCTGGATAACGCTATCCACCGGATAAATCGCTATCCACTGGATAAGTTTTAACAAAACAAACCACGCTATCCACTGGATAGTGATTTATCCGGTGGATGGCGTTATGTACCTTTCGAACAACCAGGGCCAGGTTTTAACTCTGCGATGTTGCAGCGTAGTGTTCCAGTCAGAGCTGATTGTCAGTTTGATCAAGGCACCTTGAAACTTTGAATTCAAATTTGCCCGAGCAAGTTGTCCAATTGCGTCTTAGTTTTAACATGTTCGGGTTTCCATTTTTCTAATATGAAACGAAATAATACCACTTCGATGTCAAAATTACAAGCTATGGTCGACGGCTGTAAGATTACTTGAAGGCATAAAGTTATTCGAAGTAAACTCCTAGCTTTTGCGTCCCTGTGCGTCAGTCCCTCACCGTCCGTCACTATCGTAAAACTTAGGATCGTTTGCAACTGGCAACTCACAACTCCACAACTATTAAAATACCCGGTTCCGCTGAGAAATGAAACATTTTTTCTAACGTATCAAACTTACTGATAAATCACCGAAAATGTAACTGAAAACTCAGATTTCGGCACCCCCATTCATACCGACACCGCGGAAATACGTTTTTTTGACGTCACCGTAACTGGTCAGTGGTCNATTCATACCCTCTAACAAGCGGCGGAAACCGAAATAACGTGCCTGTTTTGTTTCACAATCGTTCAGTAACTTGGTATGTTGTTATGGCGTTCGCCAAAGATTATACGGAAGAAATAACCATGGGCTACTATTGTTTCAATTTGGCCTTTGCAATGGCCTTTTTCATATTTGGAACCATCTATTTGAGGCACAGAGACAAAAGGGACCAGCAAAGGAGGGAATGGCGCCAATTTGCGGAAAGAATTTACGGCGAGTACAGCAAACTGAAAGATAAAGATATCCCTCGGAGGATTTCAAAGGTGAAGGACACTTTCGACAAGATTCAGATGAACTCAGCAACTACTGGCCTGGATGTGTTAAGGTACATGCTTGCAGAAGGTAACTACGAGCGCTCCAAGACCACCCAGTTGGAATGTCTTCGCGAAGACCTACAGTCCATATTTCCGTTGTTCAATGTTTGCTCTTCGTTGCTTCTCTTGGGAAAAGTTCCAAAAAATATCAAAGAAGAGCTGACAGATGTGATCAGTGACCTAGGCAAGATGGCAGTACATTTCTTTAAAGGAAAGCAGCGCAAAATCATTTTGAAATGTCTTGAACATTTCTCGAATGATAGACCGCAGCACGAAACTGAAAGGAGAATAAGGGAGCTGGACGACAACCTTGAAGCAACTGTTCCATATGCGAAAAGCTGCCTAATATTTGGCACCTCGGAAGGCAGCTTACCAGGGCAGCTGTATGTTTTACCTGGGTCGTTCGGTTTGGCTGGGTTCCACCACAGCGGAAGAACAACAATGGAACTCGAGAACAGACGTGATTATAGCAAGTGCAGTAATTTTTCACTCTACATAAAAGAAAACAACCCACAAAGAAGTGGTTTAATATCCTTGCGGGGCCTTCACAAGGACCTGGAAGATCCAAGGTATCTAGCAGATTTTGCCAGAGAATTACGAAAGAAACAGCCTGTACCACGTCTAAACTTGATTGAAGAGATCACCCATCTTGACACAGATAAACGTGTTGTTGAGAAAGTGTTGCACGAGGTACGTGTTTACATCCACCTGTTACTAAATGGAAGTCAACAGCAAGAACAAATTAGAGTTAACGTGACAAGGCTGTGCGAGGTAAAGGAAGAAATAACAAAGGTTAGGCCGACTGAGGCTGTAGTTAAAGGAATTTGTGAACGATTTATAGAAGATCTTGCAAGAATTCAGACAAGCCAATATCACTGTAACAGTGAAGAGTTCTGTGGGAAATTAAACCAATTATGGTGTAAGATGCAGGAAATTCAAATTATACCGGTAAGTGGAAATAAGGGTACCAGTCTTCCTTCCACATCTCAGGTGGCAAATCAGCGGCATGAAACTAGTCTGTAGTTTCTTGTGCCAGCACTGCTTGCAAGTGATATCAACTGATGCAAAAACGTATTTTATTTGAGATTAATCTTCAAGTGATGCATCAACAAATGTTAAAAAACAAACTTAAGAAAAATCGAAAGAGTTTCAAGTCCACCGCATAATTTTAGTTGGAAGTGTCTGTAATAAATGGCGCAGTGTTGATTTGTCAATGCTCTCATGGAAGCAAGTTATAGAACTTGTCAGAAGAATGTTGCCGCATGAAATGGTCAGAAGATTACAACGTGAGATTTACCAGTTTCTATGAGCATTGAACCATGTTAAACAACAACATTAAATTGGTTGTTAGTGAAACGCGTGACAACGTAACAGGAAATGGTGTAACTGGCGTAACTGCAAGATGAGAAACCTCATGACGGGATTTCTTTTTCTTTTTCTATTTTTTTTTTTCTGATGCTGTGGTAATTTTTGTTAAGTAAGAATTGTTATTTTTATCATTCCCAAAAAGAAAAAAAGATCTAACAATACAAAAAGAGTGTATAAAAATGTAGCGGCGCCTGTTTTTGTTATGAGAGAAAATGTATATCAAGTATTAATTAGGGTAAAAGTTTCTTTTAACCACAGGGAGTAGAGGAGCCAAAGTTAACCTTAGCAATTATTATTTTTTAAATGTTATCTTTGTCACCTCTGCAGTAGTTTCTTGGGATGTCTCATGTCACACAATCCTTCCCCAAAAAATTGCCGAAAAGGAGACTAATCTAACGAAGCCCAGGGTACTAGCAAAGTAAACTTGCTTCCCAAGAACAAGGGAGATACATAAAGATAAAATGCCTATACACAGTTAAAATTACAGTAGGGAATAAACAGCCACTTTTTCGCATCTCATATTGGATTGTGTATGTTAATCCAGTGTTCACTCTATACTATATGGTGCTTAACATCTATCAAGTTACAATGTTTTTTTTTTGAAAAGTTAATCAAATCAGTAAAGACTATGGAATTTATTCACAAGTAAATAATTTACCTGTGAATGGTATTTGTAAACAATTCCAATCACAAAGGTAATATTTTGTTTGTTTTTTTTTGTCTTGATGAAATGAGCACACTGTTACCAATCTGACAACTCCTAGTTATTATGTTACGTACATACATGTACAGATTCTTCCTACTGCTCCTTGTATATTTCTTATAATACTAGTTGGGAGATTTCGTCTACATTTTGAGACCATTTCTCTTTGGTGATCTTTTTCTGAATACTCATAACCTTTTGCTCATTATCATATAAGAAATAGTAAACATGTACCATGGTTATTACCAAGTTATAGATATACGAGTGGAAGCTTGGGAGAATGAGAAATGCTTTGGGAACACAAGCCAATAGGCAAGTGTTTCCACAGCTTTTTTGAGTTCTTCTAAACTTCCACAAGTGTTTCTGTAGCTCGATAAACATGGAGAGCACTTTTTCCATTTCTTCTAGAAAATACCTCGACGAAAAAAAAGAAAACAACTTTTTTACTTTGATCATAAAAATGTAAATTCTCTTTGCTTGCGCCGTCGTTACGTCAACAGATCGTGCTAGTTCTGTGTTTCTATCAAGTTTTAGTATAAATCTACCAGCGTTCTATCATGAATGCAGTTCTCTGATTGGCTACGCTACCCACTATCTATTCTGTGATAGATAGTGAGTAGCGTGGCAGTGTGCCCTTGTTAACAAAATGAAGACCGCTTCTTGGTGTTCTCGAAGTGTTTGTGAAGAGGATTTAGACAAAGTTTTGAATGACTAGTAGATTTATACTAAAACAACTGGATTATTCGCTCTCAACTTCTATGCATAATAGTCGATAAGGGCGCAGCCTGAGTTGACTATCACACGATAGAAATCTCGAACTCATAATCTAATATTTTAATAGACACGATTGTTAATCAATCTGTGCGCATATTTTTGGCTCAGAAGATTGTGCAAACACTTCCAACGTTTTTGTCTTTAAATAAATTAATACTTATTATTACTTAAATGTTGATATTATGATGATGCACATCACTCTAAGCTGGCGCCTTGATAAGTTGGTTACATTTTTCACTAACAGTGGACCCAGTCAAGAGACCATCTTTCATGTCCTCAGTTAAACTTGATTTCCATTCCTCTGGGAGTGCATCCTAATCTGTATATCAACAAACAAGGAAGCACGCGCACGTCATGAGGCTGGAGATCAAGACCAGTCCCAAGTAAGCTAATTTTGATATATCAAAATAATGGTCAGTGTAAAACGCAGACTGCAGATCGGGAGTAAAATTCAGTCTGAGGGTAAAATGCAGACTGCAGACTGCAGACTACAGACTTTTTGAGTATATATTGTGTTACTTCCATTATTGAGTGTTAACCGTAAACAGGGTTATCCAGGCTAATCATGACGTAGTGAAAGTTTGCACTCCGGTTAGCCTGAATATCACTCAGGTTAGCCTGAATAACGTTGTGATTAGCCTGTTTACGGTTAGCTCTCAATTATGGAAATGGTAACACGATTCAGTTAAAAAGACTACAGTCTGCAGTCCACATCTTACCCCTGGTCTGCAGTCTGTAGTGTGCTTTGCGTAGTCTGCATTTTACAACGACCGATCAAAATAATTCCAACTTGGCTCTCAGGCATTGGAAAATAAAGCAAAGAAATCAATTCTCATCACTTGACCTCTATGTGATTTCTCATTTTATTCTCCTAATCCTCTAAATTGGCCGACATATTGGACAACACAAACCTTCATTGGTATTACAGCTGACATGCATTATTATCCCGTCTTGGGAAATCATTGCAGG